ACACATTGGTTAAATGAAGGAGAACACTACAGGTTATGACCAGGTTGTACCAAGTTACATAAATCTTTCCAAGACCATAAAGAAACTTTAAAATAATCAGAATATTAGTGTTTTCAGTGTAGTCATCCAGGCTTTGAACTGATTAGCTTAAAAAACCCCTTCAGTGCACAGTATTAGCCTCTTTACTGTTTCAAAAACATGATATTATAATGAGGAAGATGCGTGCCATATACTGAAACCAGGATATGTGCTGTTTCATCTCATGGTGTTTGCATCCAAATGCTCTCAGTGTGTCAGTTTAAAAGAAACCACATGAAAAAAAACCCCACACATGCCAGTTATGAATATTTTAAACAAAAGAGCTTAAACAGATTGATGTGGGGGGGATGGCGGGAGAGCCAGGTTAGTATTTGGTCATTGTTTAGAAATAGGCCAGCGAAAAGGATCGGGTGTTATTTTAGCAACATCACCACGGTTTCCAGCGTGTCTTGAAAGGAATACTTCTTCAGGCAAGTGTTTAAAGTAGCAGCCATAAATAGCTTCTATCATTTTTAAAAAAAATATTTTTTTGTCCTCCTTACGGTAATCCTGTAACACTTCCTTGTGCATGACAAACGCCAGAGTCAACATGCCACCCGTTATTGCCGGGATCTAACCTCATTCACGCGTCCTGTTGTTATGGTTCATGTTGCAGAAAGTGAACAGACGTCTTCACCTCTCCAAGAGCAAGAACACCAAGTTTAATGAGTCGGGTCAACTTTGCGTGTTTCACTTGGTGTCTAGTGTGTGGAGTTTCTACATCCTCATTACAGTGAGTGAGACTGCATTCAAGCGACAACTTCCTAGTGAAGGAAATGCCGCACATATTCTTAAAACAGGCGCTCACACGCGCACATTAATAGATAATAGTATTAATAGTATAAGTGTTCTAATTTCTTCACACAGGAAGGATATCTCCTGCATCCCAGCACCCTTTGGGAGAACTATCCTCATGTACATCTCAGGTATATATATTTATATATATATATTAATTTAACCATAAAACACTAACTGTAGCTAACAAATGTCATGTTTATTAGGAGTGAGACACAATACCGATACAGCAATCTATCATAACCTTTCCTCTTCTGATACTCTTATCTTGACGCTGCTGCCAGATTTTGATGATTTTGGGGTTGGGTTTTTGGCCTGGGTATGGACCTGAGTGCAAATGATCTTCAGATGGTTAAGGCAAATTGACAGAATGAGTTTGTGCATCACGTTATATTTAATTTTGGATGTTAAATAAATAAAGTGTATTAAAGCTATTTAATCTAAGCCCACTTAATATTTCAAATTATTTTGAAACTCTGATTCTCCAACCAGTTTTACTTGGTGGAGTCTCTGCTGCCTGACTTTTTGTGGTGGCATTTATCAAAATAACCAGGGAGAATAAGAATAAGAGGTTATTAGCTATAATCATTATTAAAATATGATAATGGTAGTATACAAATGTGTACTGTAAACCAACGCATACAGATCAATATTTAAGGTTTGACTCTCAACATCCAGTGGAGCACAAACTGGGTGTCATCAGGACGCTACAACACAGAGTGAACACCATGCCCACAGATACAGTGGCCAGGAAAACAGAAGAACATATCAAGAAGGCCCTGAGTTTATGTGGTTATCACAGCTGGACGTTTTTCAAAGATGGGAAGGCACCTAGTAAAAAGCTCCAGGAGAGAAAGAGCATTATGCATTTGTGCAAAGTAGGAGCCTTTTAGAGTTTCTTTTTCAGAAGTGGGGATCATCAATTTTGCTGCAGAAACACGATAAGTTGGCAGTCTACAAGCTTGTTGGTTTTTTTGTTTTGTTTTTTTGACCATAGTCCTAATTATATAATAAAACTAAGACGAAACAATCAGTGAGGCAGGATGTAGATTATGTGCTTCTCCCTCTGTCTTACCCATGCCTGTCTGTGTGTGTCTGGTCCAGGTTTCAGGTGAAGTTTTTCTACCTCACTCAGCTTGCCTACTGGCTCCATGCCTTGCCAGAGCTCTACTTCCAGAAAGTCCGCAAGGTCAGTTGGAGAGTCCTTGAAACTGGAGGAGTTCTAAAGTGTGATTAGATAAGCTCTGTTTATACTCGGGCTCATGTATATTCTGCATGTGCATTAGACAAAGTTGGAAAAGGACTGAGAGGTGGGGAAAGGTGTCAAGCTTTAAAATCATTTGCAAATAAAGGCTGTTTGTTTTCCAGGAGGAGATTTCTCGCCAGCTCCAGTACATCTGCCTGTATTTGCTCCACATCTCTGCAGCCTATTTGTTAAAGTAAGAATCCCTTTGAAGTTGGCCAGTAAAATCCAAAGGTGTGAGTAGAGAAGACTCACTAAATGCTTGGTATTTGAGTCATTTCGAGGTCTTTTAAATTCTTTGCAGCAGCAATTTTCACTCTGCTGCTCAACTTAGTGTTTCTTTTGTCAGCAGGGATGTAAGGGAGAAACGTGGCACTCAAAGAACCTTGATTTGAAATCTGTGAGGGAAAAACATAAAGATTTTTAGATATTTCAGGGTTAAGTCAGATCAAACTGTACTGGTGATTCAGTTATTTTAGATAATGGCTCAAAATAAGTGTCCAGCTGCACTTCACGGTGACTCCCAAGTTGCAAGTTGCAAGATGTTCGGGCTGCTTAGATGATTTCCTTTTATCACCTATTCTCTCGACTTTGTCTCCTCTTTCCTGCCTAGTTTAAGTCGTGTGGGTCTGGTACTCCTCTTCCTGCAGTACGTGTCAGAGTTGGGCTTCCACATCGCCAGACTCCTGTATTTCACTGATGAGAACCACCAGAAAATGTAAGCTATCTTACCTGCGAAGAGGCTTCAGCAGGTTTTACTTGATAAAGGAATGAGATAGAAGTAGATCAAGCCCAACAGTGCGACCTTTTAAAAATAAACTTCAGTGTTTTTGTTCGTAAGCAACAGCATCATGTGTTTTCAGCGTTGTTCACCTTTTGACTCGGATAGTTTTACAGTACATTATAATATTACAGTGTTCTTATGATAACCACTACCTTGAACTGATCATCTCAGCAGCTTTTTTTTTTTTTTTTCCTTTTCCTTTTCCTTTCTCTGGGCCCAACCTCGCTGTGTGTCCTCCCCCAGGTTTGATCTGTGGGCGGTCAGCTTCGTGTTTACGCGGATGTCTACGCTGACCCTGATGTTCCTGGCAGTGGGGTTTGGTTTGGCTCGTTCTGAGTATCAGGGGCTGGACCTGGAGATGGGGAACTTCAACACTGTGTTGATAAGGTGAGTTATATTGAGAGAGGGAAAAAAAGAGCAATGTCCAACATCTGTGGATAATGATTTATTTTCTGGTACAGTAAGAACTGTTTAGAGCTACAGAAACAACATAAAAGTATAATTACATTGTGCCCTTATAGTGTTCAGTTTTGTATTGTTTTGCATCATTCATTTTGAGGAGGATGTATAGGAGCCAGGAAGGAATTTAGATATTTTATTTAGGCTATTAAAAATATCATACATTAGCATCATATGTTTTAAAATTTTGCAACACAATCGCCCATTTTTACGAGCACACGTTTGTTTTTGTTCTTTCCTTTTGCCCTTTCAGGATGACCGTTCTACTGTTGGTATGTTTAACTCAATCGTGGCTACTCTGGAAGTTTATTCGCTTCCAGCTGAGGCGCTGGAGGGAATTCAGACACGAGCAGGCTGTTCGCAAGAAGTCTGCTGCAAAACAACCCCTAAGGCCACTAAAAAGAGATTCACGTGAGTTTAAACACCTGCTCTGCTGGCTTTCATATTTCACGTGCATTACCTGTTAAATACTTGCAAAAGAAAAAGGAAATGAGACTTAGCATTTGTCTCTTCTCTGCTGTCATTTCTGCTTTCTTCATTTATCTTTATCACACCGATTCTTACATGTGCTGCATTAACAGAGGTACTGATTTCTCCCTTCTCTGCCTGGCAGTTGGTCACCATGAAAATGGAGTTCTTAAAGCTGAGAACGGAGCCTCTCCTCGGACAAAGAAACTCAAATCCCCTTAAGATAACAAACTGACTGGCCTAAACAGGAGACCTTAGCCCTGGCCAAGGCTTCTCATCAGCACCACAGCGAAGCTGATAGCCACTGGTCATCAAGCTTCTGGATGTGTATTTCCTGAGATGCCACGGGGACTCAGTCGCTACAGACTTAGGCTTGAATGCTGGAAAATGAAATCCAAGGAAACCCCTTGAGCCCCAACAGACATTTTCTCTTCTCATCATATCAGTATTTTTTTTTTATTTTTATTTTTTATATACATCCACAAAGCCTGTGATCCCACCCTGAAGCACACCATTGAATGCAGAGGGAATTCAAAAGTAAAGTGAACGCAGTGTGCGGCACATTTTAATGTGTATGTCCATGCTGAACGTGTTGATTAGTCCTCATACACAAGTACTGTATTGGTTGTAGCATTGTGAGATATTGCAGCTCTTGCCATTGAGCCGGCTTTGCTTGTTTTCTATTCTGGTCCGCTGGAGCAGAAAAGCGTTACTGATGATAAAGTATGATATGAGCTTACTGTCGAAATCATGCAACTGTCACTGGTCACTTAACAAATATGCATTAAATATGTATGTTGGATATTACCGCATGCTATTTCATGTTTTCTTTTTTTTTTTCTTTTTTTTTCCTTTTTTTGTTTTTAATTTCTTTATTAAATAATGAGATTTTTTCTGATATAAGTTTTGCATCTGAGGTCTTTTCAGCTGGTTTACATTTTATGCACCACATGTGTTTAAAACAAAACTACAAAAAAAAAAAAAGAATAATCACTTGTTGGAATTTATGGTGTGTGAATGGACAAATTTGAAGTCTCCTCATTAGAGACGCCATAAGGTTCATTTTAAAGCAACAACAAAAGGTCGCTGTATTTATCATTTGTCTCACTGTAAGGTATCACTTGAAAGGTGTCATGTTGATTGTTTAATTGTCAAGGAAATTTTAGTAAAGGCTTTGATTTACAGTAGATTTATTGCAGAAGAAGAACTCTGAAATAAGGAATGTCTTCACATCAAAGAAACTGCTCTGTTGCTTCACCTGCCAATGAGAAAGGAGGGGGGGGGGGTTGGCAATTAAGATGAGCATGAACTAATTAGCATTTATTTTTTCCAAAGAGATACCTACCTGCACAAAGGTATCATTGACAAATAATTTAGTCTAAATGGCTGGTATAGTCTTTCCCATCTTGGTCAGGTGGCTGGGTAGTTAGAATTTCCACACCCAGCTTGTGCCGCAAAGAATCCAGCGTCTTGGAAGGGATGTCACTCCAGTTAGACTCCAAGTATTTGAGCACATAGTGGTCGGCATCAGTCAACACAAAGCGGTGACCAAAAACTGAAAGCGGGCAAAGGTAAATTTTATAATCTTGATATTATACTAAAGATAACATTTAAAATGTCATAACTGAGAAATGTTACTGTATAAAAAAGGAATATATAATCATTTTCAATTTAAGTCAGAAACACGCTTAAAAGAAGTTGGGATAGTGGCATGTTTGTTTTCCCAGTCCTGATTAACATAGGATTTCAGCTGTTACCTTCCACAGTGGCCCCGATAGCGAAGTCTGCAGGTGAGTAGTACGCAGGTTTGTCTACAGTAGAGCCCGGCTTGGGGACACGGGACTTTTCCAGAAATTTTCCACCAATGACACCAGAGTTGCGTGTGGTCTTTTCAAAAATGCTGATCATGTCATTGGACAGGAAGTAGGACAGGATGAAACGGCGGTCTTCATCTTCAGGATTCTGGGAGTCCTGGAATGCAACGTAGGTGGGCTTAACCAAGGTGTAAAAATAAAAAATAGCTTTTTGCATAATCACCCCTTTTTTAACTAAATTTTTACTGAGGAGTAAAAGTGTCTCTAATCAGTGTTTCTGAGCAAAGCCTGTCCATTGCAGAATGAGGAGCAAGGCTGGGCTTTTTTAATCTCATTAGAATGGTCTACTTTTGGTAACTTTCAGTGATTCAGTTCTTTTGAACTGCTACAAATGCTCTGCTAAATGTTGCTCACCAGTCTGGCACTGTAGCGCAACACTTTATGGTCGTTCTCTAGCATCTTTACCACGCTCACTTTGGGAGGCTCGGGAATCAGACGCAAACAATTCTGAAGAGAATCCTCAAGTGAACCAAAACCATTGTAGGGAGGAACTGTCTGTAAGCATGGACAGCATGGAGAAAGAGAGAAGGAAATAGACACAAATGTACAAAAACATATACACTTCTGCTGCTGTAGTCCATCTGCTTAACTGAGCTACTATTGCCTTTCTATCACTTTGAATTGGTCTGGCTTAAAGCGGTATAAAGCATGCCTCCTCAGTGATACAGTCTAGCTCTGACAGCATGGCTGGAATTGCTTTTTACCTTCTGAATCTGTCTGTGTGTATGCAATCATGGCAAAATTAGGTCCTTGAGACACTTACTATAGCAGAAACTACCTCAAAGGTAGTTTTTAGAGCTTTATCGGGTCTTTATATGACTATCTGCAGACAGATTCTGTCAGTATGATGCGTCATCACTGTATAAGATGTGTGTGTATCGCTGACATTATAATGAACGTCAAATTCACAGATGGATGTAGTTTATAATCGTTTTGTCTGGTGTAATCCCATTCCAAGATGGGCTTCAGTTTAAATTAAAATTGTTCCAACATAAAAAACAAAAATAGGTTAAATATACAGTTCAATTTACCTTCTTCCAGTCTTGAGGCATATCAACCTTCTTTGGTATCTCTATGGACTTCATCTCCATTTCCGGGTGGTTCTTCTGGTAATATTCTTTAGTGAAGCCATCACAGTCATAAAGCAGGAAGTTGCGCCCCAGTAGTTTCATCCTTTGACCCACCTGGAAGTCTTTTGGGGAGTAATACTCATCCACCTCTTGCTTTGAGACCTCCATCACTGCGCTGGGGAAGTTCTCTACAAATAAACAAGAGTACAACAATGTCAAAATGAAATATACAAAATATTATCACAGTCTCTGTGTATTTTTGATGTATCTAGAAAATCGAGTACTTTGTAGAAGCCAGTGTAATTAATCTTTTTACATAACATGTCATCATTTTTGTCATCATTGCATAAAGTCGTTTATGTCATACATAAAGTAGGCAAGAAAAAAAACATAACTGATGACATAACTCGCTTTACTGCACTGTATCAAATCAAATCGGTCAAATGCACATTTAACCAACACACAGTACTGCATCAAACCTGATTTGATCTTTTTGGGTAGTCTCTGCCTCCGCATCAGGATGGGGAAGGGATCCAGGCCGCTGTTCGGTTGGTGGACCTCTGCGACCTCCACTGTATCATCCACCAGGTAATAGTGAATGGTAACAGGCCTGGACTCCCCATACAGAGAGTCAGCATCATCCCACAGAGTGAAGAAGCGTAACACCTAACCAAAAAAGTGTAGAAGAATGAAACTACAAATACAGGCATGCCTCTATTATATCTGCCATTTATTTTATGGCAGGAATACCCCATGAAGGAATTTAATTTCTAGCACTTATTAGAACTCTAACACAAATCAAGATCGGTGGATTCAAACCTTGGACGTTGCTGTGATGTGACAGTGCTAAACGTGATTAATGTTACACAGTCAGCTTGTAAAGGACTGAATTTCATTCACCTTGCGGTCCATGTTGAGAAACTTGTGCAAATTATCAAATGTGGAAGGTGTAGTGTGACACGGTGGAGGGTTTTCACGACGGATGATGTAAGGATCCGCTGGCATTGGCTCAGGGTCATTTACAATCATGCCTTCACTTTCCATGAATTCCTGTATGAAGAATGAGAGATCAGAACACACAGGAAGTGTATTTATAACAGCAGACTTCTAATGCATAGTTTCATTTCCACAGCATTCAAACACATAAGGTTATACCTTAGTAAAGGTATCACACTGGGTGATGCGGTATTTGACCCCATACACGTCCAGGTCCATACCAAGGTTGAGATCTTTCCAATGGTAATGCTCTCCACGTTCATTCTTGGGCAACTGGTGGCGTTTGATCCGCTTTCCCTGTGGTATCCCAGAGTTCTCTACTGTGGGCTCGATGATGCAAATGCTGTCATCCTCTAGGTAATAGTAAATTACCACAGGGCGCACACGGTACTGCTCTTCAGGAGAATACAAGATAGCCTCCATAAAATATCCATAGTAGCGCAGCGCCTGCAAGACAGGTGGTAGTGATGAATAACAGATGAGGAACCTTTATGTTTTTATGAGTTTTACAACTATAGGTGTTACCAGACCTTCTTGTCAAGGGCCACATGAGCAGGGATGAAGTCTTCATGTACTCTTTTACCAAAGGCGCAATAAGTAAGGTCAGGTGTCTCGAAGGCTAACTCACTAATCTCTTGTTGAGTGAGCTGCTCTGATAAAAGAGGGTCGTTGCCAATGCCCACAGTGGGACGTCGGGGCAGAGCATAGCCATTCCTATAGCTCAGAGTTTGGGGTCGATGGAAGGCTGACTTCTGCAAACACAGAAGAAGAAATAAATTAGCTCAGGTAAATACAGACAGAAACGTAATTATATGAAGCACTTATCACTAATTGATGTAGTTTACACTTAAATACCAATATGGGAGTGTTCTGTCCAATGTTACAGTAGTCTGTGCAAGTCTTGAGCCACCCATTGTGTATATTTTGTTCCAAGTAGCCAATAATTCTCCAGGCTTTCTTAAGGTCTTTTCACATTGTTCTTTTGGCTGCTTTTTCAAGGATTTTAATTCAAGTCCTTGTTCCTGACCATTTTTAGAGGAATTCTTTAATTGTTAACCCACTTGACATTGACCTATGAATGACTGAAGCATTAAAAAAGACACCTACTTCAAGCAATGACCTTGTGTTGTCTACACATAGCAGAAAACTGTACAACATACCGATCTAAAAATATATCTCTAGTTATCTTACTAGTATACCGTCACAAAAACACATCATCTGTTCCCATAATACAGTAACACAGTTTATTAGGCACCCATGAGTAAATCACAGTGGAGGTCTGTCGTGGTTAGGGGCTGAATTTCAGACAGCGGTGTCAAAATTAATTGAATTATGAACCGATTTTGGTCAATCATGTCAATCCATAAAATTGCCGAAACCTTTTTTTTCTTTTTTCTTTTTGCCAAAACACACTTCCAATGCGGTGAAGGCATAACTGGATAGAAAAACACACAAGGTAGCACAATCTGTGATAGACTGGCCTCCCCAGAGTCCAGACCTCAGTGTTCTGATAATTTTTTAAATGGCATTTTTCTATTCCCTACAATCCAACATCATCCACCCAAGTGCTTTCTATAAACCAATCACTCACATTGGAGAGCTACTTGGGGTTAGTATCTTACCCAAGGATATTTGGCCATATTTGTAGCCGGGGATCAAACCACTAACTGTCCAATTAGTAGATGACTTGCTCTACCTCCTGAGCTACCACCCCTGCTAATGTAACAAAAGGCAGCTAGAATCCAAAGAAGATTTTTAAATGTCGCCCAAGAGGTCTAGGGAACTATTCACGAAGACTACTTAAAGAAATGACAAGCATTGTTGCCTAAGAGTTCTGTTTGTGTTGAAGAATAAAGGTGCTCAGACCAAATATTGACTTTCAAGGTGATTAGAATTGTACAAACTCTGTTTTTGCCTTCAGTACTGTATTCCCATGTATGTTTGCACGTGTTCCAATACATTCTTGCACCCATTTTTCATTTCCGAGGGGTGGCTCAAGACTACTGAACAGTACTGTAGATCAAGTATTGAGCGCTATGCCTGTAGGAAAACAAAATAACAATAACATCCCTAAAGTAAAGCAAGAATAAATAAATAAATACAGATAAATTCTCTCTGTGTTAACTGTCAACAGTGAATTTGTTAATTTTATGAAAAAATAATAATTATGTGTTATTATGATTCAAAGCATTGCTGTTCATTTTTATTAGGGCTTGGTAAAATAAAATAACTTTATCAAAGACTCTTTAGAGAACATTTAGAGATGTTTTAAAGGTCACTCGAGAGCTGGCTAGTACCTTAGCAACACAACCTAACAAGTGGAGGAATGTAAGAAGACACCTGCATTATTAAAAAATAATCGACAAATACCCCCCACCTTCAAAAAAAAAAAAGAAAATTTAAAATTCTGTCAATCGTTAATGTTTCAAACTACTAAGCAAACCCTATAGTTTTGTTTAATCATATTCTTACCGTCACATCTCGAAATGTATATCCCGGTAAAAATGGTAGTCCGTGGCTGTTCCCGGTATAAGACATTTCCAGTCTTGATATTTTTTATTTTTTTTAAAAAGATTTCCTCCTCTGCACAAGATGTTAGCAGTGGGAATTGTGTATTTTGTGGATTTAACAGCCGTTTTCGTTGGTGTGTAAAATTGCACGAGAGCTCTCACGGTGGTAAGTTTATAGTATCCATGGTAACGACAGGAGCGTCTCAGTGGAAACAAAGCAAATATTTCCTAAAACAGATTTAATTTCGCGGTAAAAACCCCATGGAAATACTGAAATTCACAGCGGCAAACACAAACACAAAGGAATAAACACGGCAAAAATAAAATACAATATAATAACATGATATTAAGTTGTTATAATTTCTATTTTTTTAATTTGCATTTTTATTTTAAGTATTTTTTTTAATGTTATATCCAATAAAACAATGCATTTATCTATATAGTTGTGCTGACTTTGTATAGCTAGCCAAAGTGATTTGCAGTCATAACTTCACTCCTTATGTGCTGCATTAAAACACACTGTAGAGATCTATCTTCATCACAAGGTGGCGCTCAATAACAAATCTTACAGATCCACTGAGCCGCTGGCTTACAAGTTCTCCTTCATGCTGTCTATGACCTCCTTGTGTAAATCCGTATTATGTATGAACTCCCTGTATTCTCAGTACTGGAATTGGGCTAAAGCGTCTTCTTTCTCCTGACACTCACAATATAGTCTTAAACTAAAAAATATAGGTCAGTGTACACAGTTGCAGCGTGTTTTTTTCAGAAGAAAGTGCAGAAGGGAAAAAAAAAGACATGTTATTTTTTTTTAAACACAGTTTATTCCAAGCACAGGAGTCATATTTTGGTCTCTCACATCACCAGTTATTGGCACATTTTAATCCCATTCAAAATTAAACACAACAAATATCCTTGTTAGAAAACAAACAAAAAAACAAAAAAACAGGAGAAGTGCAGGGTGTATGTATGGTGGAGGGAGTGTTGTGAAAATGACCTTAATATGTCCTGTTTACTCTTTAATTACGCTCACAAAAATACCAAACTGATTTATGAAAACTAACTCTACGCTTGAAGTCAGGGAAGCACGAGCAGAACTGGACTGACAACTGGTTATAAGATTAAAGTGGCGACATAATTCGCCACTTTCTGCAGCGCTGGTTTCCACGGGCATCTGTTTAGCATCTTTGAAATGAATACACGGATGGCGCAAGACCTGAAATTCACACATCTGTCACGAGACAAGACCATAAAAATATTTTGTAGCAAAGTCACTGATAGAAATTGGCATTTACTGGTAATGCACATTTACATCTGGGGAGAAGTGCAATGTTTAACAGACACATTCAGCTTTTACACATGGTCCACCTCAGCAAAGGGAATATGCATACAACGAGATGAATTTATGATTTCCAATCAATAAATAATTTGACCAGTTACAGAGAGACTCATCAGCTTCATTTCTGACAAAGAGATGTAACAGTTGGAAAAGGCACTGCACTGTGAGTTAAACATACTGTATCAAAAATAAGGTTTAAAAATCACTAAAACCTCTTTGAGGCTCTTTATATGATTTTTCTAGTTCTTCTCTTTAAATGCTGGCACAGCGGTTTAAATGGGCCGATCCCCTTCTTAATAGCCAAAAAAACAAAAAACAAACATCAACCAAACACAGAAACACTAGGATTGCATCCCTGAGGTGCTAGACCAGACAACCTTCGCCAAGTATAAAAATATCTCATAATAAACCATACTTGACAACAAAAATACGCAACATTAATAAACTATTAAATATTTTAAAATATATTTCAGAAGGGCTGAGATGAATTCCCACAAAAATATCTTTTGGTTTTATAAAGCTCAAAAGGCAGCATGGTTATTCACTGTGGAAAGATTATCTTACATTGTCAAGTGCACTTGCTTTATGCTACCCCTCTGCTAAAGTTCACACTTGAATACTGGAGGGTACAGAGCATAAAGCTGTAAGTGTCACAGTCTCTTCCAGCTGCCTGGGGTTCTGTATAAACAGACCTGTCTGAGGCCTTGGTCCTTCAGTCACCATGTAGTCTCTGCAGGCCTATGTATGTCTAAGGCAGCTAACCCATAAATCCCCACTTCAAAAAGGCCTGCGGAGGTCATGGGCAAGGCAGGGCAGCCTTTCACCTCTTGCTTCCTCCAGCCAAGAGGTAAGCTTACCATACAGAAAGGGAGCTTATTGTTTTACTCAAAAGGGGAATAGCTTATGATACCCAGAGGAATATGCAAATCAGCAGAGAAGGAGGACTTTCTTTAAAAGTCTGCAGTACCTTCCACTTTTCTCATCAGTAAGAGTCCAGCTGCTTTTGCATTCATGCTTATAAAGCTTCATCGAGGCCTTGTCCCTTTCCACTCCAACCCAAGTGTGTTCTAAATTTTTGTTTGAGTCAAGTAAGGCGCATATCAATCATCCCTCTGCAGTCCTCAGTAATACCGATTGAGGCTCCGTGTCCCTGGGATGTCCGGCTGTCCGTTCATCCAGATCTCCCGGATGATTCGCTCCCTTTCCTCAAGCCTCTGCGCTCTTTCCAGCTCCTCCGCCGACGTGAACACGTTCATGTTGAGCGTACGCTCAAAGCGCCGGTGTCTCCGCGCCGACAGATCTGAGGTGGTGTCCCAGTCTGAGTCCGAGTCGCTGGAATCGGAGGATGAGTCGGGAGGACGCGGTCGTTTCTTGGCGGGAGGCCGCTGGCGGGGCTGGCAGTCGGTGCGACAGGAGATCTGTACTACCAGGGCGAAGAGGGTGAGGAAGAGGCCCAAACACACACCACAGACAAAGAATAGTGCAGCCCTCTCTGGGTGATCTGTTGTACAAGAGAAATTGGAAATTGTTAGTTGACTTTATGAGGAAAATGTGTCGAACACTAAGCTGAGTCTTTCTCACTAGGTTTCTTATTTTTTCCTGACCTGTTTAGTCAGATGCATTTCACTCAGTGTAATGAACATTGTCTGCACAGCAAGTGTTCACGTGGCTTGGTTTAGTTAAGATGTCTTACAGATTCTGCTACTCCTGGTTTTCATCTTCAACAGATGTCACAGCTCTGATGGGGTCTGTGTTTCACCACTGAAAAAACCAAAGTGACTCTAGCTCCATTAGTACGAGACGAGAACGGCTCTCCCTTTTCAATGAATGAATGCCATTTTCAGCTTTGAATCCTTCATGTCTTCCTTGCATTTTGCATGCAGGTACTTTGCATTTGCATTTTGAATGCATCCAGCTCAACTGCAGACACTTCTGTTTATATTATTGTTCATTAATATAATCAATTTCATTTCTCTTTTACCATTAAGACGTTGAGAATTTTTCTTGAAATCCTAACATGCAACCTTTTTTGCGTTCTGAGGAAACCTTTAGAGAAAGCTAAAAGCTAAGTGATCTAAGTAACCACCTGAGCTCATGTTCACTGCATGCCTTGTGTATTTATCTGACCTTCTGTGCTGCACATTTCACTATGTATAAACTGTTTATAGCAGGAAACAGGCAAACTATTTCAGTGACTGTTTTAGCAGCTGCTTAGAGCTGGTGACCCACACTGTGTAATGTATAGAGACATTATCGCTGCTTACATCCTCTGGCCCACATTTACCCACCTATTAGTGAGAAGAAATGGGAAACGGGGATTTTACACACATCAATCCATGCAGTGCAATCCCGTGGTCACTAATCTCATGGGCCAAGAAGCAACCAGGAGCTGATAATGCTCTTGAACACAGAGATCCAGCCTTATTGTTTGCTAACAGAGCAACGAGAATCCCTGCGGTGGAACTGTATCTCTTTCCCAAAGAGATCAAGTTTCTTTCGTCCGCCCCTTTATTTCCCGAGGGGCCGCCACAGCGGTTGGATCTGCATATTTCGATTCGGCACAGATTTTACGCCGGATACCCTTCCTGGTGCACCCCTCCCATTTATCCAGGCTGCAAGGTGAATGCATTAACCTTTACACTGTGGGGCTACTCCCTAAGCAGTTGCAGTTAAGATCTCTAAAAGTCTAACTGCCAGAGATTACGCTACACATGTGATGTTACAGTAGATTTCAGAACAATGTTACCCGACCTGATATGTAAGTGTAGGCTGCCAATGCGTTACTAATGAGGGCCATGTTGCCACTCGATGTTGAGTTGATGATGGGATTCATGTCCGGGGGACGCAATGGACTTTCTTCTCTTTCTTCTCCTCCTTTTCCGTTTTCAAAAGACTTTTCCTCGTCAGCGTTGGTCTCCCTGGGTTTCTTCCTTTCTGGGAAAAAATGTAAATTAACAGGACATGAGTACACAATGAGTAGTTTACAGCAGCTACATGTACAGTTACATTATGATGGTGATGCTTTTACAGTAAATCCAGAATCTGCTGTTGCTGATTCATTGTAATGACATCAGTCTCAGTCGCCTACAGTCTCACAGTGGTTTGGGGGAGATTTTATCGCATAAATTTTCTAAAAAGATGCGTCACGCATAAGACACACATACACACACACGTACACATTCACAGGGAGCTTTGTGATTCAGAAGATAACACGACATCCTTTTCTGTAATTCATTCTGACTCAGGTCATTAAGAAACAGAGAACCACATGGAAAAGTTTGTACTCTGGAGACATTTCAAAAGCTTCCCAAAATCTTAGAAAAAATGTTTCTATTTATAGATGGGAACGACTACTTCCTGCTCTAGATTTTTCTTTTTCTTTTTTACTTCTTTCAGTGTTTACCAGCTGGGTTTTGTTGTGCACTCACTGCAAAGAGAGTGTGTGAAAGAGAGAAAACAGGAGCACCATGAATTAATTATGGGGATTCATACTCATGTTACAGCTGCCTTTAGTTTACCTGACGTAGTTGTTTATGGGGTAGCATGGAACTACTGCAAGTTTAGCTCCACTGAAAAAAAGCAACCAAACCTCAGACAGTCAAAATAAACAGAAGCATTTAGTTTAGTGACCTGAGCTCTCTCTCTCTCTGTGTGTGTGGTTGCATAGTCATTTTTACATGCTTTATTTCTTTTGTCAATGAAGGTAAGCATACTCTGGTGATTTGTCACACGCAGGAATGACCTCTAATTGTAGAGTCTCTAAGGTGTGTCGGGCTCTCTTTATCTGATAAATGCAGTTTATACTGGAAGTGCTCGCTGATGAGGTAAATGCTTCCACCTGGACCTACGGCTATGTTGCACACATGAGCTAACGTTCAACCGCAATCTGTCTCAACTCACAGAAAACAGACAACTTTTGTCACATTATCAATGAAAATATAAAATACGTTGTTGTTATACTGTTGTCTCTACGAAACAATACATTTGTGTTCAGAGGACTAGCATTCCTGTGGGAAACTAAAGACACCCTTCTTACTTCCTTAGGCAATAAGAGCATACATACCAGCCAGATATTGCTAATCAAATGCACTTCATTAACTGACAGTCAGCAAGTGTTAGCACCTCTATAAAAACAAAAGTGTTGTCAGTTCATTGGTCCAGTGTGTTCAGGTGTGTGTTAACACGACATCCCAGTGAATTCAACCTAAGATCATGTCGTGCAATGCACAAAGAAAGAGCTTGACTTCAATGAAATAAATGGAAAAAGAAAAGTCAAGTAATCTGTGTGAACTGCACAGCAGCAATGCCACATCAAGAAGCAGCTGGAACCAAAGATGGAGACAATAAAAAGTTCAGTGTTTGTGTTTGTGCCATATGATGTTTACAAAGCTGTATTTTAACTTGTACACATAAAACCAATTTTGCAAGGATAGGAAATAAACAAGACTGCATTCGAAATCCATGTTTATATAATGGTATTCCTCTAAAAGCTATGATATCATGGTCTTAAGCATCACATAGTTTTGCTGAATTATAGTAACAAGCACATAAGTGTACAGAGTGAGGAATATATGATAACAGTGATAGAAAAGGCATAATTTATCAAGGCAGTAGTACAACACACAAAGCTTTTAAAATCTGAGAAATCAAAATTGAATGAGAAAATTAATATTTATATTAATCCATGTATGATTAATATAAATATCCTTATTAGCTTATGATGGGAAGCAAATGGATACAAGTAGTTTATTAGTGGTGCATTAGTCTAAAAGTTCAAATCTGCCTCTTCAATTATGTATGTACTCACTTGTGTTATATAGTAAATACAGTAAGTAGTGTTTTTATGGTATTCCACTTCCTGGACTATTTTTTGGCAGAAGGCAGTGACTTCCTGGAGCCTTTGCTGTCTGCATGGCTACCTTTGGTGATCAAGCAAAAAGATTCAATCTATGTCAACATACCCATCATTTTGTGCAGTCTAACATTAACTAAAGAGAAATGCTAAAGTAAGAAGAACAAGGCACCTGAATTTACAGTGAATCACATCTTTATTTGGTTGAATATTTCTTTTGAAAACCTCTTCTTCGCCCTGTTTTATCTGCTATCACACAATCTCACAAAAAAGGTTATTCCAGAGTTAGTTTGTGAGCAGTGCATACATTCGTGGCAATAAGGAGGAGAAATTCATGCATCAGGAACCGTCAGCGCTACAGCACACGTCTTCTGCCCTCTACCTCTCTTAACTGCTCATTCATTCTTCTATCCTCCTAATCAGCACAGTGCCAGTAGCCTAGCAGAGTAATTAGTGTGCTGGATGCAGGCCACCATTGCTCATGAATAAAGCTTTGTTTAAGTTTCTTTCTTGCTGGCGTCTATTCTTTTTCATTCTCTCATTACGTTGTTCTTGGTCATTCATTCTCTGGGAATTAGAAAGCCTGACTAAGGTTGTTGTACATGCAGTGCAATCATTGGTTGTTGGGAAGGAGTATATTGTGAGTACCATCAATCAGAAAGGATCCATATGGAAACAGTTGAACTTGTGTTACTTTGAAAACGCACACAACCACGCTCTGACTTAAGACCTGAATTAGATCAAGGTCTGATGCTCAAGAGGCCTCAAACCTGTTTAGCGTTAACTACATTTCATGGGGGGGTGGGGGGTGAGAGTGTATGAGCTTATACACTATAGTTGTCATTTGTCTCACCTGGAACAGTGTCAGGGCTTTTGACTGAGCTCCCCTCAGGAGGGCTGTCTCCCACTATGTTAGGGTCATGGGCGCTGGGTGCTGGGTGGTAGGCTGGTGGTCTGGGGCCCTGCTCGTGGAGCAACTTCTTTGGGACTACAAAGAGAAGGAAGTAAAGCAAGGAAGGGGTGTTTAGGGAAAAGAAAGACAGAACAGAGCATAATTAGACAATGCAGTATTGGAGTATTTGTAGGTAAAGGAGGTAAAGGGCAATGCAGTATTTGTAAAGCAATATACTGGATTATATTTTCAAAGCAACCAGTTTTTGATCAGAACTATCTTCTTCTCTACCCTCTAGTGCACACAGCTGTGCAGTCTGTCGTATTTGTTGCTGTTGTTGATAAGGATTAAGACTCACATCAACTGCTGATTCATTTCATTAGGAGTCAAACAAAGGTAAACATACTCAAGAGTATGCTGTCACTGACAGTGTCAGACAGCGTTGTGGCCATGATTCACACACTCTTCCAGACCATGCATGCAAGTTCCCAAAAGTTACGCTGCCCCCGCCATCACAACCCCCCAACCTAACAGTGTCCTGTTAGTCAAGGAAGTTTCACCCAGACACAAACCTACTGGGCTATACATTCCTGCCGGCTCACATGTGGTTTCGGAGGCCGAGCCGTGCTCCGGTCACCGTGTTTGTCCGCTTCGTCAGACTGGCTGACCGTTCACAGCTGAACAGATGACTTTCTGTCCAGCTGTTGGTCATTCTTGCATTTTCACTACTGTTTGCGAACAACGGCCACAAAGACAAATCTGCTGCTTTTCCCCCCCGGGAGATCATCAGTACTAATAGTAAAATTATGACATGAAAATTGGGGTAAAAATTCAGCATTTGTTTAAAGGACGACGATAAACACGCTGATCAAATTACCAGAGACGTATTTTGGCAGTGATCCAAGAGCCAATCAAAGCACAGGAAGGAGCAGAGCAGGCCACACTCCCCCGTTGCACTGGATGCTGCTTTCGGCTTGTGCACATTTTTCCAGTTGTAGGCAATGATGAAAAGATTGCATGATACAATTTGTGTAATTATACTGTGACATTTTGCCTTTATCAGATATTGGACAGTACTGTCTGATAAGAAATGCTGGTGGCCACAGTTACATGATCTTCGTACTAAACCTGTTCTTCCACAACAGGACAATTAAGCAGACAAAGAGCTCTCTTTGAAGAAGCAATAAATAAAGATGGAAGATATGGCTGCTTAAGTAAACCAGTATGATGCCTCTACTTTGCAGGATGCATTTATGGTGTTTAAGACCAAAATTAATATGCAAACCATTTTCTTAAGGTTGACTTGGTAGATTTTTGTGCCGTGCATCAAAGAAGAATGAGACAACACGGAAAAAATGTGAGTCTTAACACGGAAATGTGGTCAGAAACTTGTAAATAACTCATGAAAGAATAAAGTTACATGGAAACCAAGCACTCCATTGTTTTTCTTGTGACATTACCAATAAGTTTGATGTGTCACATGGCCCTCTTCCTATTTAAAAAACAAATGTTGTATCCAAGATGGCCGACTTCTAAATGGCCACCATGGTCACCACCCATCTTGATGAGTTTGCCCCCTCACATATACTAATGTGCTACAAACAGGACTTTAATATCACCAGCCATTCCCATGTTATTACGGTGTATCCATATAAATGGCCCACCCTGTACAATCAATACCATTTTAACTTCTGACAATTAAACAGAGAGAGCAATAAACATGAAAAAGACGTTTTTCTTACAGCAGTTTAAAGACTGCACTTAAAGTAGTTTCAACAGCTCTTGTTCCTGGAGGACTTGGATCTAACAGGTCTGACTTTAACCTCCTCAACATCAAGTAACAACCAGTAAATGATTTCTGATCTTTGTTTCAGTTTAAAGAAGACCATTAGCAATGTAGTTTCTCACCAGTTGTATAAACATACATGTATATTTGTATTTTTACATATTCTTGGGCAAAATACTGAAATCAGTGCTGCTCCTGATGTGTGAATGTTAGATAGAAAGCACTTGTATAAATTTGTGTGTGAATGATGAATGAAAAATGTTATTTAAAGCACTTTGAATGCTTGAGTAGAAAAGTGAAAATAAGATTTTCATATCTGTAAAAAACTTTATATAATTGTGTTATCTCGTGTGTGATCTGTCAACAGAAAAGATTTTTAAAAATCAGACTTAGAAGCCCAAACTAACCTGGTTTGGTTGGGTCAAACTGAGAGGATATAAAAAAAAATTGCAAAATTAAGAAGTGAGATTTGGCCTGGCAGGTTCCCTTGTTCCTTCTCATCAGTCAGACACACTAATCACAGGGCTTTACAACTCCCCCACTGCTATGTTGCCGTGGTGCCATGCCACGCCCTTATTATAGGCTTCTGATTGGTCCTAATTGGCTGCACATGTGGACCAGAGTCATAGCTGAAGAGGGGACAATGTGGCTTATACACACTGTGAAACATGCATTTTCCTCACTAACAAAAGACTATTTAATTGGATGCATTACCTGGCCAATGCACATGCACACACAGTCCATCAATCATCCAAAACAATAGTCTGCCAAGTTTTTCTGTACACTTTATTTGCTAACAAAAAACGGTACAGTATAGTATAGTATATTGACTGCTGCCTTTCTAAAAATAAGTGTCAAAAAGCTAAAACCCCTCAAAATAAGCGACCGCAAACCACGCTTAAGGAGCCAAGCATTTAAACTAAATCAGTAAAAGAGAGACAGAGGAGTGCAAGGGAGCGAAACCCAGCACATAAATCACACTCTCCAGCCTTCGTTATAATGACATGGTCACATAAATGTGGAGCAAATGAGTCGTCGAACTTCTTAATATAACTCTGCTACATGGGATCTGTCCCAGAACTGTACCTCTCAGAGCCCTGGATCGCCACAGGGAGCGAAGATACGAGGCGGGAAAGAGTGCCCTTAACAATGGGCTGTGTTTACACTGGCAGAGCCCAGCTTTGTTTTCACTGGGCTCTGCAGGCCAGAGAGTGTGTGCATGTCTGTATGTGTCTGTGTTTGTGAGCCATATGCTGACCATTGCAGAACACAGTTGGGACAAAGCCCTATAAGCCAGAAAGGATATAATGAAATATTAAACCATAGTAAATCTCAAAGACCTCGGCCAATAATTTGCACATACTTTTGCCTTTATGGGTTTAGAAGACTAGATGTTTGAGGTATTGTTTAAGGGCATCCTTGATGGTTGGTCAGCTTCAGCCGTTTAAAATTTGACCCCAAAAATGAGCGCAAGAAACTGTAAAATAGACATGGAGACACTGCATAGAGATGGGAGTCGTTTCCCGTGTCAGAAACTTCCAGAGTTTGTTTCAAATGAGATACTTATCATTTCAAAAATAGCTTGACTCTTTAATCTGTTGTATAATGGATAATAAACACGGTTAGATGGCAAAACACATAACAGATTGGGTAATACATTTTTCTTAAATGGACTCTTCAAAAGAACCAGTCGACTGACACAATGTGCACGCACACGTGTGCATGTGTGTAGGAAGTCTGAGCAAAAACGTCTGGTTTTCATCAGCACTCAGCCAGTGCCAACTTAATCTACGACATTAAAGTGCTGGTTAAGGCTCCACTTTCACTTGATACACAAATAAAGGCAGTGCCTCAAAAAACTCAATGTTTATGGACACTCAGATTCACAAAATGCTTTTAATGTTCTATTATGTCCTTTCAAGTCTCTGCTTCCCACACAGACAGGCATGTAGACAGACATCTGCATGCACATACTCATGAAGCCATCCACCAACCCGTACACATACACACACACAGTCATTTTTCACTTAGCTAATGGCATTCCTGCAAAATAACATGCAAGGTGAATAGGGCAGAAGCTGAAGGTGTTGAGATTGCATTCCACTTCTCCCTCCCTTTGCTCTTTCTCTCCAACCCACAGCGTAACACTCTAACACCATCCAGCTGACAGCAGCTTATTGAGCTTGGGTATCACTGTGTGTGTGTGTGTGTGTGTGTGTGAGTGTGTGTGTGTTTGTGTGTGTGTGTGTGTGTGTGTGTGTGCTGAATGAGAGAGAGAGAGAGCACATTTAATAGCAGTGTGGGAGGCTGCCAGTATTCAATATGCAGCATGATTTTGCGTTTTTCAGATAAGAATGGTATAAAACAACATAAGTGCATAAGTGTAATACAAAGCTGGGGTCTTACAGCCATGTTTGCACTACTTCGACCTCACACTGTGAAAATGTATGTTTTTTTTTTCTAAATATCCCCGTGCTTGCATGATTGAGAGCGCGTGTGTCGGTGAGCATGATTAACACACTCACTCTCGTCTTATTTATACAAAGTAGACCAGCTTTTGCACCAGTAATGTGAACTCTACCAAGGGACTGGTGGTCTACACCGAAGACCTTTCCTGGTTCTGCTTCCATTTTTATGTGAGTTTGAGGAATCCACATTTCTTATATTACTCAATTAGGTTCAGTAGCAGTGTACATGCATGTGTGTACAAAAATACTGCACAATGAGACTGTGGTATCCATAAAGGAGAATGCCAGTGGTTTTAGTTCATTAAATATAAATGGTATCAAATTTACACAACTTGACTGTTTTATGATGCATGCTGTAAGTCTTACATTTACTTTCTAGATCAGGATAGCTGTAAATTTACATTTTTATGCTACATTAGCTCAGACAAGCTAAAAGGTTAGTTTTCACAAAACAACCACTTTTTGCCTCCCACACCTGTAAAATACAGAACCTAAAGATGTTAAACTTTACTTTGTGCTCAAAATAATTCTTGAGTCTTTCTAAATGTCTTTCAAAGTTTTTCTTTGGACATTGGCTGCTTTTTCACTCATTTTCAATCTAGTCCTTCTATGTGACTTGGGTATTTTATTTGTTTGTAAGGCCACCTAACATGACCTATGAATCATTCAAGCATAAAAGGCACCTAACTCAAGAGATACACACTGGAGCCTCTGTCATGATTTGGGGCTGAATTTCAGCCAATGCTTTTGGGGATCTTGCCAAAACTCATTGAAAAGTGCTGTCAGATTTCCATCCAACATGCGGCATCATTTGGAAAGCATCTAAATGGCAATGACTCAAT